TGGCTAATTTGTCATACAGCTGCTGGGGGTGGGGTTAGGCAGCATAGGTACAAAAAGAACTAAGGTGTGTAGATGAAGACAGCTTTTAAAGCATCGTTTATTCGAACGAATTTTGCACAAGGCAAAAACCCCGAGACTGACAGGATTTAATGAAGTCATGCAATTTTGTGACCGCTCATTCAACTGCACACGGTCATTGCCTATTGATAAGGTAAACGCGTCTTTTGGAAACGGCTTTCTGGAGGAAATCACGAATAAGTATCGCCACCGCAGACAAGAAATTCCCCACGAAATATCAGCTCCCAAAAGTTGGTGACGCATAATTATTGTACATAAGCACAACAACGGCTATTCCAGTTAGACCAACTAAAAATATTCTGCCTATGCACGCTACATACAACTGCGTTTACGAGTTTAAATGCAGTTGCAGATGCAAGTACATCGGGTGCAGGCGAAGGCAGTTGGCAACGCAGTCAGCTGAGCATATGCCAAAGTGGTTGCTCAGGGCGGATAATAAAATACCCAGAGGTTCAGTCGTGAAGCACGTGGGGGACACTAGCCATATGGTCGAGCAAAGGACTCCCTTTAAGGTCGTACTTCGTGTGACGACTGTCCGTTTTCAGCGATTTGCGGGGGCCGCTGCGATATGGAGAAGAAAACTAGAACTCTGTAGACAGCTGGACCATGTGGTCAACCTCGCATTTCCGTGATAACGCTCAAGAAAGGACGTAGACCCATCACCCTTTGCCGTCCTCTCACGTCCACTCCCTTCCCAGTATGACCAACTACCATTCGGCCCGTTGTCCGCCCCCCTTTTATCACGTTTGACGGGCTTTCACTGTAACCTGAGCTGCCCTGCTTCGATAACTGCCTCCCCCTCCTCTGGTGTAATATTAGTTATCGTACAGCCTAATTCCGGTATAATTTACTCACGTTCGATTGTCGGATTTTGACCAAGCCTGCAAAAATTATACTCTGAAGAAATGGTTACTTAATTAGTATGCATTTTCTCGATTATTATCATGTCTCTTATAAATTTAAAGGCAGGACTGACTGTAGAAGTCTTTTTGCTTTTGGTTTATAACAATGAACTACTTTTACATTTTCAGTAACCCGAAGTTCTCTTTTTTCCTTATATTCCACTAACAGGAGGCCGAATTTGCATTTTTATCAAATTCCGCCAAGGTAAAGTCAAATTTCCCTCAATTGGCATCCGTTTTCTACGCAACAAGAGTTTATGTTGATTTAATTTTACTCTATTTTAGTATATCAAAAAAATACAATTTAATTTAATATTTTTGATCACTTCCGCCACAATTACATATTCATTTACGTTCGCTACCCACTTATTAAATGTTTCACGACAACATCCGTTAGGCAGTTGGGCGGGGGAATAGATAGGAAAAGGGCTCTACAAGTCAAATTAAATTTATTTAATTGATTAATGCACAAAATTATTCGTTTGTGTACTCGGTTTGTAGAAAATTACACATTCATAAACTTTTATACTTGAAGGTAGGGTATCGTTCGGTTTTATAAAAGTTTATAAAACTCTACCGGTCTCCGAACTTTATGCTGTGTATATAGCGACTTCGTAAACGTAAATACTTTGCTAAGGTATGAGCAACAAATCATCTAGGTTTCATAAATTTCACTATGGCTGTGGACTAAGCTGTTTAGCTTAGAGGCAAGATTAATAAATGTACAAATAAGCTACCTTATTAAATTTTTATAACCGAAAGATAATCGTTCATCAAGTAGACAATTTTAAGAAGGCGCAATTTGTCTACCAAAATATTTGTTGTGCCTTTTGTTCTATAAAATATATCTAAATTGATAAGAGCAGTGACAATCAATGCGAAGGAAGCACGCTACCTAATTGGCCATGTTTTTCAGAATATAATTTTTCCGGCGGTCAAAAAGAATCTGGTTCAAAATCCAGAATCCTGACGTTATGGAAATATAGTGAGATTAGGTTGCACGATAATTAGTCTTATAACCATATGTAATTAATCTGCTCAAATATTCGGGGTCCAGATATCATATAGTGTTCAGCATTAATGGGTTTAACTCGAAAGCAGATTTCAGTATTTCAGTGGACACTTCATGAGATGTAGAATTTGCTGCATAATCTTCAGATGAAATCACAAAAATACCCTTTTCTGATGAAAAAAAAGAAGATCTTCGGAAAATCGAGTTATACTCGTGAATTTTCGAACAGGTATCACTTGCTCGTCGTCAGGCTAAATGAAAAGTGAGGGCTGGGAATGTTGCACTAGAGGTTTTGGGTGCAGAGATTACAGCGAACTGGAATAGTGTTGGGGGGGGGAGGGTTAGGGTGACGTGAATTCTGCGGCGATACGTTGGGCAGGTAAGGGGGGAGATGTTAGCGTTTTAATTGTGGGCCAAATGTTATGGGGGGAGGCGGGATCGCAGAGCCAGTGGAGTTCTACTGTAACGAGCACGGACGGCCTGCGTTTGTTTCAGGCTGGTCGCAGGTTAATGGACCATGCGCGGAAACCGGCATAATGTGAACCAAGCTTTAAGTGTCGGTTAATACTGGTCGGGCTCGAGTGCCAAGCTTCGATGAATTCTCTCGCTTACCTCGTGTTAGCCACTTCGGTCCCATCCCAATCGTATCGGTGATCACAGCCAAGAGAGTGCACAAATACGCGTGATAAAGGGTCCCATCGGCGAACGGCTAACTTATGTTCCTTGGTGCGAGTCACGAGACGTCGGCACGTGTGGCCAATATAAGCACAAGGGCAGCCGGCGCACTTAAACAAAAAAAACTAGTCATTCTTTAAATCTCGTTAGGCATATTTCTGATAATTGATTACAATTAGTTTCAGACAGTCCTTTTACTTTCTGCAGATTTTCGACGCGCCTCAGTGCCTTCAAAAAAATATAGGTTTCATTCTGTCGTACCAAATAGCACTGAAAATCTGACTGATCTCAGGCAACCTCTGATTTCTATAACCCTCAAATAAGCTGAACTTAACAGGCAGTTTTCCAGACTAAAAATGCTTTCTCAGGATCAAGTCCACTCATTAGATCAAAATGACCTGATCAACTGTTCGTTATATCGCGGTGGTTGGTGCACATCGGTTCAAGTATACACATCAAATTTCGGTCTATGCCTACAGACCTTGTATATGTAGTGGGTCGTCGCCTGTCCGATGTCTGGCTTTCCCGTCGTGGCGTCAATCTGTCTGGAGCTCAAGGTCGTTGCGGTCGTCAGACTTACTAACGCGCGTGACGTGGACCAGCCGACACGCCGTCTAACCAATCACAGGCCGACCTAGCCAATTAACCCGCTCTCTCTTTGTCTACTGTCCTGATGGCTACTAAAACCGCACTTGGACCGCGGCTTACTCTCCGGTGGACGTGTTCTCCGAAGTCAGACTTCTTCCATCTATTCTCCTTTCCCTTGTGTACACAATAAACTATTCCTTCTACTCTGGCCTTTACGGACTTCTCTTCTGCACTAAGTAACCATGG